TAGACTATAGACTAGACTATAGACTAGACTATAGACTAGACAATAGACTATAGACTAGACAATAGACTATAGACTAGACTATAGACTAGACTATAGACTAGACTATAGACTAGACTATAGACTAGACTATAGACTAGACTATAGACTAGACTATAGACTAGACTATAGACTAGGCTATAGACTAGACTATAGACTAGACTATAGACTAGACTATAGACTAGACTATAGACTAGACTATAGACTAGACTATAGACTAGACTATAGACTAGACTATAGACTAGACTATAGACTAGACTATAGACTAGACTATAGACTAGACTATAGACTAGACTATAGACTAGACTATAGACTAGACTATAGACTAGACTATAGACTAGACTATAGACTAGACTATAGACTAGACTATAGACTAGACTATAGACTAGACTATAGACTAGACTATAGACTAGACTATAGACTAGACTATAGACTAGACTATAGACTAGACTATAGACTAGACTATAGACTAGACTATAGACTAGACTATAGACTAGACTATAGACTAGACTATAGACTAGACTATACTAGACTATAGACTAGACTATAGACTAGACTATAGACTAGACTATAGACTAGACTATAGACTAGACTATAGACTAGACAATAGACTAGACTATAGACTAGACTATAGACTAGACTATAGACTAGACAATAGACTAGACAATAGACTAGACTATAGACTAGACTATAGACTAGACTATAGACTAGACTATAGACTAGACTATAGACAAGACTATAGACTAGACTATAGACTAGACTATAGACTAGACTATAGACTAGACTATAGACTAGACTATAGACTAGACTATAGAGACTATAGACTAGACTATAGACTAGACTATAGACTAGACTATAGACTAGACTATAGACTAGACTATAGACTAGACTATAGACTAGACTATAGACTAGACTATAGACTAGACTATAGACTAGACTATAGACTAGACTATAGACTAGACTATAGACTAGACTATTGACTAGACTATAGACTAGACTATAGACTAGACTATAGACTAGACTATATACTAGACTATAGACTAGACAATAGACTAGACTATAGACTAGACTATAGACTAGACTATAGACTAGACTATAGACTAGACTATAGACTAGACTATAGACTAGACTATAGACTAGACTATAGACTAGACTATAGACTAGACTATAGACTAGACTATAGACTAGACTATAGACTAGACTATAGACTAGACTATAGACTAGACTATAGACTAGACTATAGACTAGACTATAGACTAGACTATAGACTAGACTATAGACTAGACTATAGACTAGACTATAGACTAGACTATAGACTAGACTATAGACTAGACTATAGACTAGACTATAGACTAGACTATAGACTAGACTATAGACTAGACTATAGACTAGACTATAGACTAGACTATAGACTAGACTATAGACTAGACTATAGACTAGACTATAGACTAGACTATAGACTAGACTAGACTAAGACTAGACTATAGACTAGACTATAGACTAGACTATAGACTAGACTAGACTAGACTATAGACTAGACTATAGACTAGACTATAGCCTAGACTATAGAAGACTAGAAGACTATAGACTAGACTATAAGACTAGGACTATAGACTAGACTATAGACTAGACTATAGACTAGACTATAGACTAGGACTATAGACTGACTATAGACTAGGACTAGACTAGACTAATAGACTATAGACTACGACTATAGACTAGACTATAGACGAGACTATAGACTAGACTATAGACTAGACTATAGATCCGGCCTATAGACTAGACTATAGACTAGACTATAGACTAGACTATAGACTAGACTAGATAGACATAGACTAATAGACTAGACTAGATAGACTAGACTAGCATAGACTAGACTATAGACTAGACTATAGACTAGACATAGACTAGACTATAACTAGACTATAGACTAGACTATAGACTAGACTATAGACTAGACTATAGACTAGACTATAGACTATGGACTAGAGACTAGACTATAGACTAGACTATAGACTAGACTAATAGACGAGACTATAGACCTAGACAATAGAGTAGAAAAATTCATAAGTTAAATAGGTTCAGCAAATTAAAGTTTTACATTTACAAATAACTTTCGAATTTAACCGACTTAGACTTTTTGGACTAACATTTGCAAAGTCGATTTTTCGGAGGTTTTCTTACAAAATTATCTGTTTTCCGAATTTTTTAAGAAAATAGACGACAAAAAAGGGAATCATAATAAAAATCACGAATTTTCATCAGTGTAATTATTAAATAACTTTACTTTTTTCTAGTGTATTTTAAAAAATATAACAACAAACAATTTAAACAAAAATATCTCACTCAAAATTATCTGAATAGGAATAACACAACTGTCAATAATATTGAGTGTTTTTATTTATAAGAAACGCCTTAAGATATGCTTTAAAATATATATAGAAATGATTTCTGTTAATATGAACAAAAAGTAAACAACACAAATATTTAAGTAAACAAATAACAAGAAAAAAACAGTTAGAAAAGAGATTAAAATTAATAAAACAACTCATACTCACTTGATAATCTGTCAACACTTTCAAAACGTCCTTCGACTTTGGAACGCAATGAATCCAAATCGAAAGGTGCCGCAAGGCCATGATCAACACTGCGCGATTTACTCCTGTAAAAATAAAAAATAAAACAAATATGGGATTAGGAAAATTGATTTAAATGAAATTATAGAGAAAAATTGAGATAATTTTTATTGTTGTAGCAATGTTTTTGCAGGGGATTTTTTATGTTTTTTATTATCATTTTACAAGTGGAAATAACCATAAATGGGATAAAAACAAAACGACAAAATTTTCTAAAGTTAAAATTGAGTTATAATTGTAATGTTTTTGTTTGTTTATTTGTTTTGAAAACTAAATGCCGTTTAATTGCATTTTAATTAATTTTAATTTTTATTTTATTGTAGAAAACATCCGATTGATAAATAAAAATCGCTAAAAATACGAAAAAAATTGAAAAAAACATGACAGGTGTGATAATGATTTGTTAATAAAATATGTCAATATCTGCTTAATAAATAAATATTTCTTAATTTTTTTTTTTCATTTTACTACTTTTTTGAACATGTTTTTTTTTGAAAAATATTTGTGTTTAACATAAATTTTTGTTTGCAATTTTACACAAAAAATAGCAATAATTGTTTATTGTTAAATATTTTGTTGTTTTTGTTTTCAATGCAAACTGCATTCAGTCCTTAAAATAGTTTAAAACAAAGTTTTCATGAAATTTTGTTTATTGCGGGAATGTATAGAATTTTTTTAAACTATTTCAAAACTGAACAAAAAATGGTTTTGAAATCTGTAATTTGAAAACAATTTTTTAAACAAAATTTTATAATTAAGCATTTGTTATAAGCAAATTATTAAAAAACTGTAAATCAAAAACACAATTATACGACCGAATAATGTGGGTCATTTTGGTACTTAGAATCGGTTGTGGAGGGAATTATATCTTGATATTTTTATAACAGCAACTAAACTAGAAGAACTGACCTAACTATTAACTACCAATTTATTTTACAAATCCCCTCACAAAAGAAACTTTAGCTTTTAAAAATAGCCTAAATACACTTCAGTATTTTTAATTTATTTTTAATAACAAAGCGGTCAACAGCAAAAGAAAAGCAATCATTAAACTTGTAAACAATTGAAAATGACATTATTATTTATTTATAAGTATTAAAACACTTAAGGAACTAAAAGTGAAGTCACCTAACGGCGCTCCAACTAAAAACACACATCTACCGCGACTACACTGACTGCGGTTACTTTAATCGGAAGTGGCTAAAACCGTCCTATAGAATGGACGGACGTACGATTTCATCCCTTTAGAGTTTCTTCATGGTCTCGCAGAACAATGTGATAAAAGGTGCAGAATCACAACACGCTACCATAGTGAAGAGTTTAAATTTTTAAATAGTTAAAATTTTTATCAAAAATAGTAATTTTAAGTACTAAAAGTACAATTTTATGGACAAGTTTATTGCCTGGTATATTGGCTAGTCTATGAATTAGTCTATGATCTAGTCTGCGATTTAGTTTATGATCTAGTTTATGATTTAGTCTATAATCTTGTCTATGCACTAATCTATGGTTTAGTCTGTGATCTAGATTATTATCTAGTCTATGAACTAGTCTATGATCTAGTCTACGATCCAATCTATGATCTAGTCTATGAATTAGTCTATGATCTAGTCTATGATATATTGTATGATCAAGTCTATGAATAGTCTATGATCTAGTCTATGATATGGTCTATGATCTAGTCTTTGATATAGTCTATGATATAGTCTATGATCTATTGTATGATCTAGTCTTATTCTATTCTATGATATTGTCTATGATCTAATCTGTGATCTAGTTTATGAATTAGCCTATGCCCTAGTCTATGATATAGTCTATGATGTAGTTTATGAATTAGCCTATGATCTAGTTTATGATCTATGATCTAGTCTATGAACTAGTCTATGATCTTGTCTATGATATAGTTTATGATATAGTCTATGATCTTGTCTATGATCTAGTCTATGATCTAGTCTATGAACTAGTCTATGATCTTGTCTATGATATAGTCTATGATATAGTCTATGATCTTGTCTATGATATAGTCTATTATATAGTCTATGATCTAGTCTATGATCTAGTCTATGACCTATTCTATGGTATAATCTATGATCTAGTCTATTAACTAGTTTATGATCTGTCTATGATCTAGGCTATGATCAATTTTATGATCTATCTATCTATCTATCTATCTATCTATCTATCTATCTATCTATCTATCTATCTATCTATCTATCTATCTATCTATCTATCTATCTATCTATCTATCTATCTATCTATCTATCTATCTATCTATCTATCTATCTATCTATCTATCTATCTATCTATCTATCTATCTATCTATCTATCTATCTATCTATCTATCTATCTATCTATCTATCATCTATCTATCTATCTATCTATCTATCTATCTATCTATCTATCTATCTATCTATCTATCTATCTATCTATCTATCTATCTATCTATCTATCTATCTATCTATCTATCTATCTATCTATCTATCTATCTATCTATCGATCTATCGATCTATCGATCTATCGATCTATCGATCTATCTATCTATCTATCTATCTATCTATCTATCTATCTATCTATCTATCTATCTATCTATCTATCTATCTATCTATCTATCTATCTATCTATCTATCTATCTATCTATCTATCTATCTATCTATCTATCTATCTATCTATCTATCTATCTATCTATCTATCTATCTATCTATCTATCTATCTATCTATCTATCTATCTATCTATCTATCTATCTATCTATCTATCTATCTATCTATCTATCTATCTATCTATCTATCTATCTATCTATCTATCTATCTATCTATCTATCTATCTATCTATCTATCTATCTATCTATCTATCTATCTATCTATTATCTATCTATCTATCTATCTATCTATCTATCTATCTATCTATCTATCTATCTATCTATCTATCTATCTATCTATCTATCTATCTATCTATCTATCTATCTATCTATCTATCTATCTATCTATCTATCTATCTATCTATCTATCTATCTATCTATCCTATCTATCTATCTAGCTATCTATCTATCTATCTATCTATCTATCTATCTATCTATCTATCTATCTATCTATCTATCTATCTATCTATCTATCTATCTATCTATCTATCTATCTATCTATCTATCTATCTATCTATCTATCTATCTATCTATCTATCTATCTATCTATCTATCTATCTATCTATCTATCTATCTATCTATCTATCTATCTATCTATCTATCTATCTATCTATCTATCTATCTATCTATCTATCTATCTATCTATCTATCTATCTATCTATCTATCTATCTATCTATCTATCTATCTATCTATCTATCTATCTATCTATCTATCTATCTATCTATCTATCTATCTATCTATCTATCTATCTATCTATCTATCTATCTATCTATCTATCTATCTATCTATCTATCTATCTATCTATCTATCTATCTATCTATCTATCTATCTATCTATCTATCTATCTATCTATCTATCTATCTATCTATCTATCTATCTATCTATCTATCTATTATTATAAGTATTAAAACACTTAAGGAACTAAAAGTGAAGTCACCTAACGGCGCTCCAACTAAAAACACACATCTACCGCGACTACACTGACTGCGGTTACTTTAATCGGAAGTGGCTAAAACCGTCCTATAGAATGGACGGACGTACGATTTCATCCCTTTAGAGTTTCTTCATGGTCTCGCAGAACAATGTGATAAAAGGTGCAGAATCACAACACGCTACCATAGTGAAGAGTTTAAATTTTTAAATAGTTAAAATTTTTATCAAAAATAGTAATTTTAAGTACTAAAAGTACAATTTTATGGACAAGTTTATTGCCTGGTATATTGGCTAGTCTATGAATTAGTCTATGATCTAGTCTGCGATTTAGTTTATGATCTAGTTTATGATTTAGTCTATAATCTTGTCTATGCACTAATCTATGGTTTAGTCTGTGATCTAGATTATTATCTAGTCTATGAACTAGTCTATGATCTAGTCTACGATCCAATCTATGATCTAGTCTATGAATTAGTCTATGATCTAGTCTATGATATATTGTATGATCAAGTCTATGAATAGTCTATGATCTAGTCTATGATATGGTCTATGATCTAGTCTTTGATATAGTCTATGATATAGTCTATGATCTATTGTATGATCTAGTCTTATTCTATTCTATGATATTGTCTATGATCTAATCTGTGATCTAGTTTATGAATTAGCCTATGCCCTAGTCTATGATATAGTCTATGATGTAGTTTATGAATTAGCCTATGATCTAGTTTATGATCTATGATCTAGTCTATGAACTAGTCTATGATCTTGTCTATGATATAGTTTATGATATAGTCTATGATCTTGTCTATGATCTAGTCTATGATCTAGTCTATGAACTAGTCTATGATCTTGTCTATGATATAGTCTATGATATAGTCTATGATCTTGTCTATGATATAGTCTATTATATAGTCTATGATCTAGTCTATGATCTAGTCTATGACCTATTCTATGGTATAATCTATGATCTAGTCTATTAACTAGTTTATGATCTGTCTATGATCTAGGCTATGATCAATTTTATGATCTATCTATCTATCTATCTATCTATCTATCTATCTATCTATCTATCTATCTATCTATCTATCTATCTATCTATCTATCTATCTATCTATCTATCTATCTATCTATCTATCTATCTATCTATCTATCTATCTATCTATCTATCTATCTATCTATCTATCTATCTATCTATCTATCTATCTATCTATCTATCTATCTATCTATCTATCTATCTATCTATCTATCTATCTATCTATCTATCTATCTATCTATCTATCTATCTATCTATCTATCTATCTATCTATCTATCTATCTATCTATCTATCTATCGATCTATCGATCTATCGATCTATCGATCTATCGATCTATCGATCTATCGATCTATCTATCTATCTATCTATCTATCTATCTATCTATCTATCTATCTATCTATCTATCTATCTATCTATCTATC